TACCAACCGAATTATTTTAATCATTCTACCTATTCGCATTTATCCTGGGGAGTTTCTGATCTTTACTCCTTTATTTGATTATTTTTGCTTTTATATTGTGGACAATGTAATATTTTTATTTAAGGGTGGATAAGTATTATGATAGTTTTTTAATTGTTGATCGGGTATGTATAACCGTGTAACAGTTTAACAAAAAAAAAATATATATTCAAAAATAGTATTTAATTTAGCGTTGAGCGACTTGCCGGCTACGATGATATTTGTGACTTTGAGAAAGACTTACTATCTTCGTCTAGATTTCATAGTATATGATTTTTGATCACTTTGTGTAGAAAATGCATTATAATGATTTTTAGGAATCCGCATGTGTTAAAAATACCTCAAAATTGGAGAGAAAAATATAAGGAGTGATTTTGTACGATGGGTGTGAGGAAAAATTGAACCCAAGAGGATTGAGGTTATGAGTGAATCAACACTACTTGATTGGTTGTGTTCTAGTATGGTGTGAGTTAAAAGTTTGCTAATCACACACATAAACTCTAAATCGAGTATTTGATAAGTGAAAATTTATTTGTGATATTATTTGGATCTTTCTAAAGTGTTTCTTAAATTCGAACATGTGGCATATGGTAAGTAGTTCAATGTTGAGTCTGTTACTTATGATTTATTTATGATAGTAATATGGGTTATGCGTAAGTTTTTTTTTTTTGCTCGAGGACGAACAAATGTTTTAGTTTGAGAGTATTCGATAAGTGCGTTTTATGCACTTATTTGGATCATATTATTAAGCTTTTATATCATCAAAGTATTGAATTCTACTTAATTTGGGTCAATTTTCTTTTGTTTTCAGTTTTGGAACCTGTTTCTAAGCAAATCGGAAAATAGAGAAGGATCGATTGACCATTGGATGTAAGTTTTGGGACTAATATGTATTTAAATAAAAGTTGAAGGACCAAAATTGAAGTGATTTAAAGTGGAGAACAAAATCAAGGAAGGAACGAAGAAGATGACTAATTGCAACATTTCAATAGTTGATTCGGACCATAAAATGAAGATTGAAGATGTTACAGGTTCAACTGGATGTAATTAGAAGTTAAAGGATATAAATTGCAAGAGAAAAAGATTTAAAAGAATCAAGAATAAAATTCGGGAACCAAAATGCAAATGTTGAAAGTTGGTATAACTGGGCGATTGTCCAATTATAAAAGCCCAGCGGTGAATTTTCAAAAACAGAGACTGAAACACATAACTGGGTGAGTGCCCGGATTTAGTCTTGGCGACCGCCCAGACAAATGGTGACCAAAATACTGTTTTCGTTCAAAATTCAACACCAACAAGGAAACTTCCATTTGAGCCATTATTTGCACCAAGTTTTGAAACTATTGGGACTTCTTGGAAAGTACTATAAATACAACTTATCAACTCAAAATTAGGGTGGAGAATTGATTGCAAAATGAGGCAAAGAACGGGACATAAATTCAAGAAATCCAAACATCAAATTCTAGAATTCCGGGTGATGAACTTTTTTTTTTCTTCTTCACAACATGTTAGGCCGAAATAATCTTGTACTAGGATCACAATGAACAATGTATTACGAAACTTTAACTTTTGAATCTTGTTTTTGACATTAAAGCACATTTTTAATTTTGAACAATTATGATGAGATTTATTCTCTACAATTACTTGATCACTAATTNNTTACTTGATCACTAATTGTATAAATTTTGGACCTGTTTTACTTTCGAGAGATTGGAAATAAGTTAGACATAATCATAATTGTCGTAAAGTCCAATAGAAAATAGAAATATACCACTATATTTTACTTGATCTTTAAGTATTTACAAATCTACTAATACATTCTTGTATGTTCGCATCCATCATATAAATATAGTCCGGTCACATGTAAGAATATGTTTAATCCTACTTAGGAACTATTATTAAACAATTTAGGAAAATTGATCTTCATAATTGAATTGAGTTATCAAATTCTAAGGTTTGGAGTTAAAAAATGATTGATACAAGGGGATTCGGGATCCTATAGCATTTTTCATCAATAGATTTTCATCAAACTTGCATAAATCACAATTTTGCATCGAATTTTGTTAAGTTAGGTATTGCATTTTTAATTAGAATAATTAGTGACACCAATTTTCATAGTTTCGGTTAAGGCTAAGTTTATTTGAGTTTAAACCAATACAATCTTTATGAGTATGATACTTGGATTTAAAATCAATTTTACTACTTGTTAACGAATCGTACACTTGTGTTATTTCAAACGTATCAAATATTTTCGTGACAATGTGGTACAAACAACTATATCTATGAATATGTGTACATTTGCATGATTTTTTCCACAAAATTTTATTCTAACAAACATTTCCGATGAGATATCATTAAATTTTATCAGTTTTTACGCCCACGAAAGCATTCTTCTTTATTTTAATTCCTTCATTTTCAGTGGCTCCAAGTTGGAGTGGCGGGGGAATGCACCCACAAAAAGACCTAAAACAAACTGGGGTGCCTTTAGACTAAATGGATGCAATCTGATTCTTTCCTACATACAGGAGGTGGTAATACTACATCAGAGAGTGGAGAGCCTGACAATTCATGAATTTTATCAGTCATATATTTTCTAGAAATATTTGGTAAAAAACGATAGATATAATTAATACGTACAAGTGCATAAGATAGGGAAAAATATTAGAAAAATTTCATAATTACAATAGTTCAAAAATTCAATTTCAAAATTAAGAAACTTATAAAAAAATTTCAAAATCAAGTGATATGTGACGTTGGCCAGTTCTCATAAATGATTGTGACTTATAAATTGTGTGATTGTAACTTGGTATGATGTTTAATTCTGATATAATCAGAATTGTAATTTAATTTGCTTTACTGTAACATTTATAATTAAGAATTACAAGTACGTGACCTATTAATTTGTGTCTATTAGAGTATTTTCGATAGACTTTCTATTTTTAAAGAGCATATTCTATCATTTGGAGAGTATCTATAAATTTAGAGAGTTAAAATTTTAAAGTACTCTCTTTATATTTAACACATAATTTTACTACTCTAAAAAATATTTATTATTTTTGTT